TCTCCTAAAACACAGAATTTTAAGAGGGGTCTAAATCAAGGCTGGTTGCTTCATTGTCCACTTCTACATCCTTGAGTGAATGATAGTGGTGTTTGAAGAGCAGTTACACGTGTGGACAGTAGAAGGCTTCGCTGAACAACCTGTCCTCTGTTTTCTCCAGAGATAAGTGTCAGTTAGAGAGTGAGGAGAGTAACCTCTTGGCCTCCAGGGCTGCAGCTGGGAGAACAGACTCCTGCCACACTGTTCGTCATGCGGGTTGTGTTTGCTTTCTTATGTCAATCCGTTTTAGTGGCAGTAAAAGTTAGGAGAAAACCTCAGTATAGTGGAACTGAGTTCATAACATACGTTCATAACAACGAGAGGTGAAAGGTCAGAGGTTACTTTATAGGTTTTGGTCAGAGTTTTAGTTTCTCGCCACTTTAAAGCAGTGGTTCTCAAACTGATGGGTCTCTGGTCAAGGCCATTAACTAAATGTGCTGTGAGAGTAAAGTCGTAATGAAACGGATAGTCTTTTCTTTCCTATTGTGAATGTTATCCGATTGAAACGGTCTTCTTGAACACTCGGCCCACTGAGTTTAAGGTCTGGTGGATTTAGAGAGTTTGAGCTAATTGTAAGATTTTAAGCTAATATCTCTGCTATGTGTTGCATCACTGTTTTTCCAAAAAGCTGAAACATTTTGGACAGCACTTTGGGTTCGTCATTTTAATTAACTATTAAATAAGGGGTTGATCAGTCTGAATACAAGATTGGAATTCACACCATTTGGGGTTTTAAATAAAGGAATGAATGTGAATCTATAATTGGTAAAAATTCCGCCGTGGCGTGAACAGACACTCCCACACAGAGAGTCCAGGAAGGAGCGTATCTCACCCTCATTACTGTACAGGCCTTGAGGAAGTGCAGAGGTATGACTGATGACAGTGCCAGGATACTGGAGAGCTATTGCACAACAAAGAAAAAGAGTGTGCCTCTGTGTGTGTGAGAGCGAGAGAAAGGTGAAGGAGAAAATCTGTACCGTGACTGATGGAATGTAGTTTCTAGAGAGCCGTACCAGGACCTCAACATCCAGAATATCAGCCACCAGCATTACAACATCACCCCAGAGGCCTGGATCAGCTGCAGCCTTTAAAACACACACACACACACACACACACACCTTCTGTGAACTCTGGATGTTATCTCTGACTTTTGGATACACTTTTTTGGTTTACTGGAGCATGCATTAGTTGTTGGGGGAAGGAAACTGATAATAATGTAATGCTTTTGCATAGATTTAGTTACGTTAAAGCAGTAAGTTGAAAGAAACTTTTAAGTGGCATTGTTAGGTATGACAGGTTGTCATAATTATAACATAATTAGAAATGTTGCCTTGGAAAAAAACAAAGTAAAAATAAAGCTAAATAGAAATATTAAAAAACTAAAAACTAATACAAAATGAAAAAAAAATAAGTAAAATGAATACTATAATAGAATAAGTAATACTAAAATAACACTGAATCTTGGTTCTTACAGTACTGTAACAAATGGCTAATTGATGTTCACTAAATAATCACATTTATTAATAATATTCCAGCAAGTTATTTAGCAAATAGTTCACTAGGCTGTTTATATTTGCCAAATGAATTTAAAAATAGAATTGAATTGATGTCTGCTCATAGGTATGAATATAGAGCGCAACAAAATGTTATAATGATAATATATAAATGTTTCAAGACGTTCCAGTTATTATGATATTTACTTCCATAGGTCTCAAGGGTGACTTTGGCTTATTTTTTCAAAACTTAATTCGTATACTTTTTTTATTTTAAGTTAAAAGAAATAGAAAGAAATATCCTATTTTTATAGGCTGTTTTACTATGACATCAAAATGTAACTCATCCAACTAGATTTTAAGAGTCTGAACTACCATTTGCTTTTCATGGAAACCACTACTTAAATCAAAATCGCGTTGTGACCTTTCTTAATGCCTGACGTAGTAGTTGTTTTATCTCGCATTTGTTGGTTTTTCCTTCATTTTCAGCATGCGCAGACTTTTTGTAATACTTCCCTGATTGTAGTTTTGGTCTTCACACTTCAGTTGGATGAATTTTTGAGGCGCGGTGAGTCTCTGGTTATTCCTCAGAATGCTTTCCATAAAAAATTCATTGTGCCTCTACTAAAATGGAAGAGACCTAAGTTATAGCTTTAGAAACATCATCAGAAAGAGCAAACGGAGACAAGATGACTTAGAAGAATGAAGAAAGACAGAGACTGGTGATGTTCATCCTAAATGACAAACTATAGTCAAAATTACACCACGGTAAAGCCCTCACATCCTCACCGTCAACCCACATCTAATCCCATAATGGCCGCCGACCCCCTGATAAACAAGCACATGTGAGGCAGAGGGTCAGGGATCCACCTCGCTCATCTTACCTCTGAGTCTTTCCAATAATTTATCACTCTCTCTCTCTGCCTTATCTTATCCCGTGAATGAACGGGCTCTCTGATCTACCACCACTCGGGTCATAAAGGTGAATGGAGCAGCTCCAGGTGTTATCAAGACTCAAATGTAGACTTTTTCTTGTGTTACGTTATGGCGTCTTTCCTCCTGAACTCGTCACTCTCTGTAGTTTCTAATCGATTGGTATTATTTGTGAATAATGTATAATAATGTTAAAGTGTTGAGAATTGAACTGATTTAAGAGATTTAGCATGCTCAACGTAAACATTTCTCACTCTTTTTTCAGGATTTTTTGCTGAACAGAAAGTTCAAAATAACAGCATTTATTTAAAATATGTAATCAAATATATAATATACCTAGGCCTCACTTTAAAATCCCATGCAAGCTTAATCTAACATACACATTCGAATTTTGAGCCTAAAACCTCACTTGCATTCGATATTAAATGCGAAGGAGCTTTTGTGTATTTTGGAAAATCACAAAAGGTTGTCTTCTATGGGAAAGGTACTGGATGGATGGAATCAATTTAAGCTTTCCAAGAAGGCTTTTTAAATACTCGCTTTGAGAGAGATGGAGCTAAAATTGAAAAAGACTGCCGTGCATCAACACACGCTTTATTTTGGAGACATTCTTCAACCGCTGCATGTCTACATCAAACTAACGCTCCTTTTGGGCCTGAGATGCCCCTAAAACTTCAAGAAAGACTGGAGTCAAACTTTTATCAGCGTTTGGAAGGATCACAGACGAGAGAGTTCAGTGAGAGTGTGAGTTTCTTTCATCTTGTGGTATCAGTGCCAAAAAACAGGCCGCTGATTAGCAGGTTTTTTTTTTTTTACAGTCATTTGAGGAAAAAATTAAGGTACACATAAAGAGAGAAGGAGAAACTGAGATAGAAATAGAATTGCAGGCTTTGTCTATCATTTGTTTGACCCCAAATCCATTTTGTGCTTTGGCCAACAACTATCAAACACAAGACTGGTAATCATTGGTCATTTCAAGCTGGTGCGATGCTTAAGTTTCATTCGCCTGCCCCCATTTGAAGATCTCCATTTCAAGACCAATTACTCTTTCGATTTGAAGTGGCGAGTAAAAACGCACCCAGAGTCCATTGGAAGTGGACTGTGCCGGAGTTACACAAAACAGCCACATCGCCTTCAAAGGGCACTCAGACCAAATCTAGGACAGAGATTAAGCGCTGTCTCTGTGAGATATAGCGGGACTTTTCGGCATGAGTAATAGGGTGGAGAAGCTCACTGATTTACGCAGCACTGGGGGCCAAGCAAATTGTTTAAGATGGAAAAGGCTAGACGGCCACAACTTGGGCTCCAGATAAAGATAAAATATCAGCAGATAGCTGTACATTTCCATGGGTGTTTTAATAGTATATATGGTTGAAGAAGGCCTTTTTTGACTGAAACAGAATGTGATTGTAGGATCTCCAATGTTTTTTTAGATGCTATATCTAAGTGAGTATTAGGCTAATCACATTTGATTAGCAATGTGTTAGCAGCTTACTGTATAAGGAAACTTTTAAGACAAGACCTTTCAGACTTCCTATGTTGTCTATGAAGCCTGTAGACTGATTTTTATGTGAAGGAGTCGGGACGTTTTTGCCGGGAAAATCAAAAGGATGTGACGTTTAAGCGCACTATCGAGAACCTCTCTTCCGTAGATACGTGAAATTAGTGGCTACAATGTTTAGCATAATGTCGATCAAAAGAGCCATTATGTCAATGTGTCACGCAAAGAAATAAGCTATTAATTCAAACTTTCACATTCCAAGATCTATATTATATAAACTCAAATAGTCGTAGCCTACTAGCCTACTCTGAAATCAAACAAGTATCAACAGTCTAAGTTACCTAATCTGTCGACATGATGCCGGTGAGTCACAAATGCTGCTGCAAACATATCCACAACACATCGCTATGATCAGATGCTTTATTGGTTTTGTCAGCGCTGTAATTCTTGTTGTGTTTATTTTGTTTCTGAAAAGCTCGCAGGGCATATTTTCATCTAAACGTCGCTCTCAGCTGCGTGGACGGCGTTGAGGTGAATGTAAGGTGTCTGCAAAGGTAATTTCCAACTTCTTTTTACTTCTAAGCGAAGAACAAAAAAATAACTTCGCCGTCATTATATCGGGGCCTTGACTAACATTTAGTCTCTTTAAAATTACACGAGTGCTATTTACTTGAGCAGCACGAGCAATAAGTACACTGCAGTTCACTTAAGGCCCACCGGTGTCGCTAATAACAAGGGTTCCCATAGACCTAATATACCCTTTGCAAACACGTACCAAATAACCCATACTGCAAATAACTGGATTTAAGCACCTTTATTTATGAGGGGAAACTGAACCTGTTGTCCCTTATACTATATATCTAAAAAACTATCACTTACTTTGCTAAAGAAAATACAGCCAAATTAATTTGTTATAAATAACCTGCAGATTTATAAAATAAAGCCCAAAATCAAAATGAGAAAATATTTATTAAGTCATAAATTGAAGATTTATGTTCATAAAATAAAAAATTAATTAGGAGCAGAATCGGTGCTTCACTTTTCAAGTTAATGCCAAAAGTTTATTTTTTTACAAAATAAAAAAATAATGACTGTCGATAACAGATATATACGACAAACATACAAATAAAGCTCATTTAAAAAAAAAAAAAAACATTTTTATCCAAATGTTTCACATTTCTTATGTTACTTATGTGTCACATTTTCCATAACCAGAATTTTGCCTAGATTTTTTTTTTTTTTTTTTGGTGTTTTTGCTGAGGATTGAAACTTTAATGAATATTTACAACTTGACCACAATCGCTCAGCCACATAACCAGTGTGACCTACTCATAAATTAACTGGTAAGGTCAAAAAGAGTGGATTTTTTACAAACAGCATGGATGAGCACTTCAGTGGAGAGAGTTTTACAATTCTAGATACAACATGAGGACAGATAGTTTGAAGAGTTTAATTTACAACAAACATAATAAATTAGTCTAAAACACTACTTAATTACTTGTTAGATACATAATATTTCACATCCCAAATCTCAAAATCATATTAAAAGACGTAAGGTTTCCTCACTGGAAACAGATGCTTGTACATTGACACCATTGTAGTGTTTTATAAGGGCCCGTTGTGAGCTGCCTCTAGGGGCGCTGCACCTGCAGATAAAGAGTGCTGTTGCCATGTCTTGCAACTCCATCACCTGAACTATTATAAAGGAAAACAGGCTTTTCCTTAAACAAGCTGCAGTTTATGCTCTGGGACGGGACCGCACCAGCACCCAAGAGGAGCCACTGCCAATGGGACACGGCTCAGATGGCCAGCTGCAGTTTCGTCAGATTCCTCTGGTGCATATTGTGGTGCCGGACGAGCTCATCAGACCTGGCAAACTTCTTCTGACAGTTTGGCCATCTGCAGTTAAAGGGTTTCTCACCTGAGAGAGAGAAAAAGATACAAACATTAGGATGGAATCAGAGGTAAAAGTAGGGAGCAGTAAGGAATAGCAGCATTATTAAATAATATTGAGGTCACCTTATAACACTGGTGTGTTCTATTTCTATTTTTCTCAAATTTTATATATATAAAAAAAAATCTTATAAATTTTGCTTAACGCAAACAATAAAATGCAACCAAGTATATCATTGTGTAATGGATAACAAATCATAAAAAAAAAATTAAATATTATTTAAATAATTAATCTACTTATTAAAAGGAGAAAACACTAATTATATGATGTTTGTTTTTTGGTTGAAAATTGGTAGAAATTCATCAGCCACTTGTCCAAAAACACTGAAATACATTAAAATTCAATATATTCAGAAATCAGAATTTTCCTACAAAGCGTTTAGTTATAATAATCATTTTGTATATTGTTGGACCCGTGCTATTTATGATAATACTAATAACATCTTATATTTAGGACTTTAAAAAAAAAAACTTTTAATTCAGTACTAAATTTATCCTTATAACAAATTGAAAGATCGATTATATATTTCTTTGTTTCATTTATGTGTTATATGTATACAGTACATTATACTGTATGTATCCATTATATTTATGCCAAATTTGTTTTCTGATCTCAATAGTCACAAATTTATTTGAGAAAATATAGATTTAAAATATAGATTATATTCTTTATTAAATGCATAGACGGTCTGCATCTGACTATTTAAAAAAGTTGAGTAAATATTATTATTACATTAAGTAACTCACTTTACTTATGAATACTATAGTTGATTTTTTTTTTCTAGATAAGCAAAATTGACTATCAAAGAACTGGTAACATTTTAAGTTAAAGTACTGGTATTAAATATTTTGGTTTAAATAATCTGTTAAACTGATATGAGTCTATCTATGGAGCCCCTAAAGGGACAGTGATGTAAAAATAAAAAGTCATGGGAGGAAAAATTATATTTCAATGCTTTTGTTTTGAGTTTCTTCATGAAACTTTGCATTTACTTGAAAAATGTTTGAGCTCATCCGAGCAACTTTGCATTTGAGTCCATGTCCCTTTAGGCGCTCCGTAGTCTATGCGTAGTTAAGAACCACTGCAATTCAGTTTAGATTTTTTTAGCATTCACTTTTGAATGCAAACTGATAACATAATGCTAAAGGTGACCTCGGTATCTTCAACTATTGAAAGAGTGGAAAGAGAGGAGCAAATCATGAAAAAATGAAAAGGTTTACGCACTTGTTTTACCTGTATGTGTCCGGGTGTGGGTCTTAAGATGGTCTGACCGTGAGAACTTTCTCTGACAGGTTTCGCACTGGAATGGCTTAACGCCTACACACACACAGGAACATACAAGTGTGGTCACACTCACACACACAAGGAGAGAACGGGTACAGGCTACAGTAGAGAGACCATGCCAAAATGTGTCAGAGAGAAAAAAAATAGTCTTGAATTAAGTATGTGAGATCAATGTCTAAAGAGAGAATGGCCAGATAGCAATACACTTGTGCTAAATGTTAACTCGTAAAACTGTAATGTTTTCACACACTTGGAACGCAAGTGAAAATGTAAACGTTTAGCCGACCTTAAGTCGAGCACTTAAGTTATCACACCTTTTTGGAAAAGATATGGGGAAATTAGCCTCATTAGCATGATTCTACTTGCATGGCAGTGTTTCTATTGGTGAATTCACCAATAGAAACTTACCATATCTTTCTATGGCAGAACTACTGTAGCATGCAAGTTTGGGGATTCTGGGAAATCCAAAAATCAATAAATCTCTGTAACAAGTATTCATGTAAAAAGTATGATAAACTGTATTTCTTCACAAGAAAGCTTAGATCTAATCGTTTGCGTCCCTTACCGAATAGTTTCGCTACAAGGAAAACTAGAGGGAAAACAGGAAGACAGAAATAATAAGGGACAGAGGCGCAAACCTGTGTGTCTTCTCTGGTGTCGTTTGAGCTGGTCTGATCTGGAGAACCTGCGACCACAGTCTGTGAAGTCACACTGATAGGGTTTCTCCCCTATGAGTTTAATACAACCAAACATGTTAATGATAACCTTAGCATTTGTGCTAATGCTAACTAATAACATTTGTGGGTTGTCTTACCTGTGTGTTTACGACTGTGCATCTGTAAGTGAGAAAGTTTAAAGTATCTTTTGTTACAGCCCGGGTAGGCGCACATGAACGGCCTTTTTTCGTTGGTCTCGGATGAACGCACAATGGCGGGTGTAATGCCCGGTACTCTCCGCACGTCCTGTGAGAAAGTCGACAACATTCAATTCGTGCTACAGCACCAAACAAGACATCCAAACCCACTGCCCATGCAGAAAAGCGCTAATGATTAGCATGCCCAGTCGGTTCATTACTGCAGAATTAGCTGTGAAATGATTATTCAGATTTACCCATGCTACTGATATGAGCTCTAACTGTGAACAGTTAGTCACGGACGTTAGGCAGACCTTATTTCACTGCTTCACTCCCCCTGTTCCTCCCGTTTCCCTCATTTGCCCACTGCTAAAGCCCATCTGCTCTTAATTAACCAGTGCTTAGCATAATGGCGTTTCCGTACGCTGGCATGGTAATGAATGAGTGTTAAGTGTTATTGATAAGTAAATTACTAAAACTGTTCTACTGCTGTAGTGCCAGACTTATATATTGACCCCACGGGGATGATAACACAGCAGGCTAAGCAATACACCCCAGCGGGCTAGCATGCTACGTCTGATTTGTATGTGACAGTTTCGTTCAGATAAGCTGTTCTATCAGAGAAGACTTTTCTATCTATCTATCTATCTATCTATCTATCTATCTATCTATCTATCTATCTATCTATCTATCTATCTATCTATCTATCTATCTATCTATCTATCTATCTATCTATCTATCTATCTATCTATCTATCTATCTATCTATCTATCTATCTATCTATCTATCTATCTATCTATCTATCTATCTATCTATCTATCTATCTTTCTATCTATCTTTCTATCTATCTGTCTATCTATCTATCTATCTATCTATCTATCTATCTATCTATCTATCTATCTATCTATCTATCTATCTACTTATCTATCTATCACTTTTCTATCTATATTTCACTTTTCTATCTATATTTCACTTTTCTATCTATCTGTCTGTCACTTTTCTATCTATCTATCAATCTGTCATCTATCTATCTATCTATCTATCTATCTATCTATCTATCTATCTATCTATCTATCTATCTATCTATCTATCTATCTATCCAATCTGTCTGTCCTATCTATCTATCTATCTATCTATCTATCTATCTATCTATCTATCTATCTATCTATCTATCTATCTATCTATCTATCTATCTATCTATCTATCTATCTATCTATCTATCTATCTATCTATCTATCTATCTATCTATCTATCTATCTATCTATCCATCTATCCATCTATCTATCCATCTATCCATCTATCCATCCATCTATCCGTCTGTCCGTCTATCCATCTATCCATCTATCCATCTATCTATCTATCTATCTATCTATCTATCTATCTATCTATCTATCTATCTATCTATCTATCTATCTATCTATCTATCTATCCATCCAATCTGTCTGTCTGTCTATCTATCTATCTATCTACCCCCCCTCCACCCCCCTCTACCACTAGCTGAAAAATCCACGCATTTATGCAATAAGAAAAGAAAGAGTAAACAGAGAAGTGAAGAAAAGCATCCCATTCTGAACAAGAGCAGCTCTGGAGTATCTCTTCTTTTACTGCTTTAAGGCCGCTGACAGACATTAATTAAGAGCTAATGATTTATTATGCATGAGCAGCAGGCAACTGGAAACTGCAGCTTTATGGCTAATGGACTTTTTTAAGTGATTCCTCTTCGCTTTTCATCCTGAAATGCCTTTCAAATCTCTCAGCTATTTTGGCAGGGGCCTGCTTCCTCTCGCATAGCCTCCTCATTGCGTCAGATGGTTCTCTTCAGCACCTTCTTTTTAAATTACATTTGTCTCTTTTTTTTTTTATAAGTTATTTAAGGCACTGTATCACACTTCTAAATCTTTTTTCTTTTTGAGTTATTCATTTTAGCAAGTTGTATAATCAACCTTTTGATTAAGGGTTGAGTATTAAGTCCCTGTGTGTCTTTGTATGCCGTGGCCTGACCTTGGCCCAATGTGAGCACATCCCAAGAGCACAAAGAATCTTAGTGTGTCCTGGGAGTGAACTCAAGTGTGCCTTGAGTTAGAGATACTGACCTGAAGGCCTCTGAAGACACCGTGGGTGTGGATGCGGTACTGCGTGCTGCAGCTGTAGACCATGGGTGTGCTGGGGTCGCTCTCATACCCTCCTGCGTGACTGTTTGTGTTCAGAAGGGAGAATATTTCGTTATTGTGATCAGATGGAATAAAGTGATGCAAACTGATTGCTATACGTATAAATAATGTGATAACATTTTGTGACTATTAAAACATGGGAAAAAAGCAAATGTTTAAAAGTTTGAGATCAGTGAGATAAAAATAAAATGAATAACAGACTAATCAAGGATGCATTACATTTATCACAACTTTACAAAAGATTTCTATTCCAAATAAATGCTTTTTAAAAACTTTCTATTTATCAAAAAATCCATAAAAATAATGTATCACATTTCCACAAAAATATCAAGCGGCACACCTGTTCTTATAAAATCTTTCTTATTATTTTCAGCATATTAGAATGATTTCTGAAGTTATTTTAACTGTAATATTACTTCACAATATTAATGTTTTTTCAAATAAATGTAACCTTGGTGAGCATAAGAGATTTCTTATGATGTTAAAAACATTTTTGTACATTTGTACATGTTTTTTTACATAGAAAACAAGTCATAGTATCAGCTATTTTTACTTAAAAGATTAAAATAGTGTGGAGATCTGTTATTTTGTGGAGGAAAAACAATAATTTAATATACATTTAATGAACAATTTAATTTGTCTCTATACCTGTTTGTCTTAAATTTTATAGTTAATTGCAATGACAACTAGAATATCATTAAGACATACTTTTTGATGCATGTAAAAATGTCAAAAATTGCTCTAAGTTATAGCAGCTCTTCACAAAATGTAATTCTACCTCATAACTTTCCTACTTATGTACGACAGCAGTTCGTACATAAGTCCTTCCTAAATCTCTCCATGCATTATTTCACAAAGTTTGGATGACATATAGAGGGCATTGCTAGCCATAAAATACACAGATTCATGTCTTTGTAACTCATCCTGACATTGGGGCAAATTGCTCCCTGTTTCAAAGAGCAATATTTTTGCCCTAAACATTTGAGGTAGGACCAGTCAGAGAGATGAATGGGGAATGTATGGTCTTGCTCACTGTTGAACTTCTGCCTGAACCTCAACGGTATGCCTTTTTACGTTGCGCTGTAAATACATGTTTCTCAGGACAATTCTGAACCATGTTTCCCCTTTGAACAAAAGACCACACATTATGTTACTGCCAAGATCTTTGCCTTGCTCGAACAAAATTTCACGAATTTTGTGTAACAGTTCGTGAGGTATTGTCTCTATGCAAGACCAGCCAGACAGTTCAAAACAGCATCCTGCAGTAAATCTTCTCACAGTTCATTCATTCACCCAAGCCGAACCACCTTGGTCTTGTGACAGACATGGGATTTGGAGGAATGCGAAGAGCTTTAGATTGTTGGACGTATATAGGAATGATTAAGTTTGGATTGAGGAGCCACAGCAACGCTTCCATGGCAGCCCCCTTGGGATCGATCAGCGTGTCTGATTTTTCCTCAACCGAAACCAGCACCGTCCTTCTCATTTATCAGCACATGAATCATTCCGTCACCCAGGGCTCCACTGACTCTTTCAGAGAGGCTGGAAAGAGGTCACAGCCTCCTCCCGCCTGGCCGAACGTGACTGCGGATTCTCGCTTGGGTCCCAGGGGGAGTAGAGGCTGTCCCATTGTGCACTGATGCACTTCCACCTCCCCCCTGCACGGCTCCCTTCCTCCCGGCGGGCCGGCGCTCGGCCTGGTCAAGGCTGAGGTGCCACTGGCAGAAATATATGGCAGGATATCATTCCCTAGCCAGACAAAACAGAGGCTAATTCTGTATGTGCACACTCTACTCTCTGGCACAAGAGTAGAAAGTTGAGGGGAAATGACTTTTGCTTGAGGGGAATCCGACTACACTGCGCTTTGTTTTTAAACACACTAAAATTTTACTGAAAAACGCATACTTGGTCTCAAAGTTAGTTGTAAGCTGTATGTGTTTGATTCACTAAAAAGAATCAGAAGTAATTCGTTCAGTCGGACTGCACTAGTATGTGTGTGATGCACTGAAAAGAGCTGGCTCATAAGGAATCAGACTACACAGTCAGTTTTTGATTCACTAAAAAGAACCGACTCATTAGAATCATTTACAAGAGTTCAGAATCAGACTACTCTGAGGTGTATGTTTTTGTTTCACTACAAAAAAGCCTTCTTATAATTTTTGGCCTGCTATCAACGCGCATAATCGCTTTTCAGCGTGTTTATGAACGCCGTTGACTTAACGTTACATTACTGTATATATAAATATATGACCAACCCCGTCACTAAACCTACCCGTCACGGGGGTTAATAGCATTAATGAGTCTTTCCCTACCATCCTAGAAAAAAAAAATATCGCTCCCCAGATGTAGATCTACATTTTGCTTCGTTTCGCTCGGACATTTAACGGCGTGTACATGCACGCGGAATCACTCGGACATTAATGGCGTAGACACGCGGATAGCTCAAAATGCGTATAGATAACACGCAACTTGACTTGAAAGTGGCGTGTATGTTTACGCAAAAGTCATGATGTCATGTTGTTATAAGAGTCATTCGTATTGTAATCTGAGTCCATGAAAAAGGAAGTTGTTACTTGTAGGATACATGCGATGTCCAATCTAGCCCAATCTTCATGTTTCTTAAAAGTTATGGCCTGAAGATATCTACATTCCAATATTTTGTTAGTCACAGCAACACATACTATCAACAGGAAGTGTCATGTTTTACACTGCAATGCACTCCTAACATTTTAAAACGGTATTAAAATATGATATCAAATGTTAAACATGCTAAACCCAAGTTGGTCGCACAAGTCCTGAAAAGTGAAGCCATTTCGATCACCCCCTGGTGGCTCGCCGCAGTATAGGTCACAAACCCAACCCCCTCCATGTAATCGAATGGAACGTGAGCCAAACTAAAAAATCCAATTACACTTCAAATAATTTTCAGAAAGATGATTTCTGTCATTTTAGGTAGTTATGTCATTTTATGTCACGAAACCTCACGCAGAGGTTTCTCCTATAGGTTTGAGTCTGCGGTAATGCAGTGCACAGAACCTTGATACCGCGGACGACGGTAACGACGGTAACCTCTGCACGACGTAATTGTCCATTACTGGGATATTTTGGCTTCATTTCTCTACAGTGGAGACGCGCTGTCCATGCTAGCAACACTTAGCTAGGGTTAAAGCAAATTATTAATCCCATGAAACAGGAAATTGTTACTCCATGTCTAATCTTCCCCAAACATTTTTATAAAAGTTCTGGCCTGGAGACAGCTACATATGAAATATTTAGTTATAGACATAGCGCCAACCAGCTGGTGACAGGAACTGTGGTACATATAAATGACTTTGACATAGTCCTCCTATATTGACCATTTAACTACATTTTCCCCACCATTCACTGTTTTCTTAAGGGTGGCGTTGGCACCAGTGCGAGGGCCCATTCATTGCTGCTTGCAGCTTTAATTCGAATCGGACTGCATTGATCATGCTTTCTGTTTCGCGTTGTTAATTCAGTTAAATAAGTAGCGCAGGAAACTCTGTCAATATTTTTGAACAGTTTTATGTAAGAATGCTTAATGAATGCTCTGGCCAGTGTTCAACTTTTTGCAATGAATTTAAATTGTCCTTTCTGACATTCATGGCAATGTACCGTTGAAGAAACAGAACCCAAACCGATGTGGTTTGCACACATACTGTAATTCAACTTGCATTCAGACCTATTATCATATTAAGCGCCAGCTCAAACGAAGCCTATTATAAGTCCTTCTCTTTGCTGAAGCAAATCCAAATCACAGAAGAATTTCCGACATGACAGGAGCGGGTCAAGTCGACCTACCTCTTTATAGTGGATGCCAAAGGGTTGACAGGATTCCACCCCATGCACTCCAACTGTGACGCCATTTGATATAAATTATCGCTGCTGGGATTGAAAACAACAGAAACACTATTTAAGAAAATGTGCATGTACAGTATTTTCCTTTACAACAAGCTCACTTAATATTAAAAACCAGCAACCACTGTCACAAGTAAAGAATGTGTGGATGAAAAATAGCCTTTTTGACAAAGGCATCCTGGGTAACAGCAAATGAATGTGTCATAAGCGCAGAAGAAGAAAAAAAGAAGGAGTTTACCCACACCACCGGGGTGATCGGTTAATCAGGTCATCCCTCTGACCAAAAACCTGCCATACGTTATTAAAAGCCTGTCCGTAGAACCATTAGTTACCCTGCCAGGTGCTCAAACACATAGTTTGGATTTATCTACAGCAACTCTGACATCATAGTGTTTCATCATGGACAGGCAACAGTATACGACGGTATGAACTGGTACCTGGTACTGTGCTTGCTTCACTGTTGAAGGAACATAACAGTATTTCATCATCAAGAGTTTGTTTTGAAAAACTACAATTATGTCATACGGCCCTTTTACATGCGTGTTAAAAATGTTACAGGACTATTTCAATAATGATAACTTTAAAATAAAGGCATATTTAGCACGTTTAATTCTATCAATAGCATTTATGGCATTACATTGAGTTAAATAGAGCCAAAATTAAATGTTAAAATCCCTCACTGTTTTAAAAGTATAGCCACTAGATTTAGCCACTAATTTTGCGCTAACACGATTTTAGCGTGCAAAAATTGCTTACTAGTTTTTTATGTGTAAAGTTCCAGTTTTACAACTCAGTGCACTGACAATGACAATGTTGTGCCTAAAACCTTAAAACGACTAAAGAATTATGATTTACACAGCTTTTGCAGCTCATATAATGCTGTTTTTAACATAATTAATGTTAGTGCTTTCATAAAATTAACCTAGAGTATTCTTTTAAATGCATGACCGAGCCAGACAGTAATACTCACTGTTTCTAAAGTATTGCCATAAGACATACAGTAAACAATATGCAATAACATGATTTTAGTGTGCAAAAATTGCTTACTAATCTATTCTGTGTGAAGTTATATCAGATTTTATGAGGTAATGCCTAAAACCATAAACTTAAACTGCTAAAGCTGTATAAGTCAAATATTTTATAGTCATTTTAAGTAGATAATACACAGGTTTTAACCGAAGAATCACTGTAAAAACAAAAATAAAAAAATCCCTGCATCAAATTAAGTACAACAAACTAAGATGTTTAAGTCATTTCAACTTAAATTACGTTAAACTGACATTTAAAAAAAAATTAGTTCGAAAAAAGTTGAAATTGCTTAAATTATTTTGACGAGTTAAAGCAATGTTGTCATAACTTATGATCATATCATTTCGTACAGTGCAGTGGTTTTAGTGAGCAAAAAAAAATAATGCTTACTCATCTTTTCTGTGTGTAAAGTAATATCCAATTTTACAATTCGATGACATGACAACATAATGACTATAACCTTAGGACAACTGTAAATATTATGATTTATACAGCTTTGTAACTCAAATAATAGCAGGTTTTAACAGATGTCAGTTCTTTTTTTAAACATAATCTGGAAAATTGCTTTAAACGGAGTCAAATACACAGAAAAAAACTAATAGTTTGGTCAGATATAACAGTGGTCTGGTAGATTCTCTGTACAACATGGTCTGGATCTTTGTTTTTTGTCATTTTTGACACACCAGATGGAGGAAGCCTGTAGATGTGAATAGCTTAAACTACATCTGCCTTTGAGATTAACAACAACCTAATTTAACTTTGATAATCTGGTCATGTTTTTATTCCAGTCACCTAGTGCTACCTAAAAAAAACTTTAAAAAAAGAACGCTTAACCTAGAGGCCTGTGTAAATACAGAGCTGTAGGTACCAGGCATTTGATTTGAAAAGCGGCACAGCATTTTGATTTGACGATTCACAGCCGCCTCACTGCGGCCTGTTTATTACAAAGCAGAGAAGCGGGAACTGGAAAATGCGGTTTGACCTGAGTCAGAGTCCTCTTATCATCCCAATTCTGTTATTTTGAATCTTTATGTTCCCTCTGCGCTGGAAAAACAACATAGCGAAAGCATTCGAGGAATGTGAGATGATTTTGGGGCCGTAGTACTCGTACTGTTAGACAAAGTTGCGAATGGAAGTCCTCCGAGAACTGTTAACCACTTATCAGAATGAAAGAATTCAGAGCTGGTCTGAAAGTGCAAACGGGTGGTGGATTAAAGCGCTTGTCTTGGCGTAGTACACACTGCTGTTCAGCACTTGACCTTTATTAAGCATGTTTGACAGAATCCAGCTTTGATTTGGCAAGATTCTGTCAAATGAAATTACACCATTTTGCATTTTTAACCCCTGACACTTGTAATTTGGGATTTTTTGAGCGCCCAGTTTCCTCTTATTTTTCATAAATGTTTATTTTTTATAGAAATTAATACTTTTATTCAGTAGGGACAAATGATTTCTATTTCAAATTAATGCTGTTGTTTTGCACTTTCTATTAATCGGAGAATCTTGTAATATAATCTATAGTAATCTTATAATAATAATAATACATTTTTTCTTGAGGATATTAGAAGGATTTCTGAAAGATCATGTGACACTGAAGGCTAAAAAAACCAGTGAATTTCCCTGAAATTGTACTTTATTTTGACCCAAAAAATGCAGCCTTGGTGAGCATAAGATACTTCTTTAAAAACATTTTTAAAAATCTTACCGACCCCAAACTTTTGAACCATAGTGTATTTTGATAATGCAATTAAAAAAAAAAAAAAAATCCATGCAGAAACTTTATTTGAACATCCTGTACGAACAAGTTTTCCTCCTTTTCCTCCTCTTGTTATTTTACTTCCCCGCTTCCTCTACGTGCTCAGTGGCAGCGTGACTTTTTGGAGCCGCCATAACAGAATTTGAAGCATCTCTGATTGTTACACGGGCCTGGTTAATGAACAGAACTGCATTTGAACTTCCTGCGCCCAGAGTGTCCTGACAACTATCAGCCGTAGCCTGTCTGGACATTTTTCCTATCTTTAAAGATGTATATTAAATTGCATGACGTCTGTTTTTCTGTTAAGGCAGCATTTCAGAAACATCTGAAGCGCAATGATGTAAGTTTAGCAGACAGAGAGAGAGAGGAGTCGTGTGTGAGGAACATGTTTCAGAAGACCTTGAGATGTTATTTGTGTGATGGACAGCCCTACCTGTTGTACGGGTTCCTCAGGAGCAGGGCCTGACTTCCTGTACAGCTGTCAGACGGAGTGTGACAACCGTACACTGGAGGAGGGACAGGATACTGCTGCTCACCTGAAATGCAACACGCGTATTAATGAGAAGCCTTTGATAGCATTGGCCATATATACAGACACACACGCATGTTGTGTTTTCAGGTTTTATTGGGACTTCCCATAGACATAATGGTTTTTATACTTATTCTATCCCTTTACACTAACCCTAAACCTACCAATCACAGAAAACTTTTTGCACTTTTACATTTTCAAAAAACATCACCTCGTATGATTTATAAGCTGTTTTCCTCATGGGGATAGAATCTTTGTGGGGACATTTTGTCTCCATAATGGTTTACCATAGCGCACATACACACACACATACTGTAAAAATGAATGCGCTTTATCTAATCAAAAGATTACAAGCAATATTATTAATTTTAATTTAACAATAGAATTGAGTAATAATTAATAAAATTAAAAGTTACCATTTAAAATGAGTAAAACGTACATTTAAGTCACCATTATGATGATCGGTGTTTGTTTTAGGTTTGTTTTAAAATGACGGTTTTCTGCTTCATTGATTCTGCTTGTTAACATCAGGTGTCTTCAATGTTGGCAATTTAAAATAGAGTTCTTAATTAATCTTTGACGTCTGTGTGTTAGTGAGATATTTTTGTTTAATTTTTGGTGTAAACTTTACTCATTTTAAATAGTTAACTTTTAAGGAATAATTTGATTAATTATTACTCAATTCTAATTTGTTCAATTTAATCAATAATATTGCTTGTGATCTGTTGCCACAATTTTATTGATTAGATAAAGTGTGTTCATTTTTACAGTGCAGACACACACGTTGTATCTATCTATTATATTATTCTTATTGGTCCCACTTTTTATTAAGTGGCTTTAAGTACTATGTACTTACATTGAAAATAATAATTTGATACAATGGAATTATTGTGTACATACATGTTTTTACATTGTACTTACATTTTAAAATTCCAGCATGTAATTACAGCTATAATTAATTTATGTAACTACATTTGTAATTACACAGTTGACCCTCCCCTCACACCTTAACCTACCCTTAAATCGACCCATACCACCACACCTGTCCCTAACCTTACCCGTATCACACCTCAATAAGAGCAAAAGTGTTTTACAATACAACAGGAACACAATAATACATTGTACTTATTGTTCAATGTAGGTACATAGTACTTAAAGCCACTTAATATAAAGTGGGACCAAAAATGATTATAAAATATTATAAAAATACTTATCATGTCATGGTCTGAGGTGTACAGAACTTTGGGGCAATTTCTTTTGTTTTTAAATAAATGTATTATAAATAAACATGATGTGATTAAAGATAGAGATTTTTTTCCTTGACAATACTTTTCTATTGTTTCTCCACCATCACACCTTGGATAACAACATTGTGTTTGATTTTTAATACATTTTGTTTTGAATAATTAAATTGACGAGATTGAACATTTGTTTTTCTTGAGTCCCCCATGGAAAATAACCATGCATGGATGCTAAGAGTATCATAACTTTGCAGTTCCAGCTAAACGCATGATCGAGCATGTGTGGTGTGTAGTCCGGCTTACAAAGGGAATATGAGCGTGAGGGAGGGTTATGGAGACGCAGCCGAGTACACTTCGCAGTTATGAAAACAACGGGCTGAGTTTCTTTGAAGCCATAAAGCACGCAAACCCTCGCTCTCCTTTTCGAGTGCAAATGAGGAATCGCTGCTTTGGCTCATCCGGCCCCCATATTGTGAATGCGTCCCATGGTAGTTCTAAACATTCCGAAAGGGATCTTACATTGCAGAGTCTTCTGGTCACTAGCACCGAGACCTCAGGGAGAATTTACTGCGGCACAATGAACACCAAATCGTCCGGTTAGCTGTTTGCTGATTTTCAACATAATGACGTGCATAAGAGCAGAGAGGACTATGGGGAGAAAGAAGAGTTTGGGCTGATTTACTGTTCAGCGATGGGACGTTTTGTGCAACTTGCCCCCTGAATGACATTACAGAAACCGCTATGTGAGTTCAAAGAGGAAGGGCAGGATCTCAAACATGCAGAGAGTGTTTGCAGATTAGAGTCTCCTCCAATAAATGCATTTATACAAACAATAAAATGTAATTTAGTGCATGGTGTGTATGTGTTTACCCATGTTGCTTTGCTGCGTGATGGGGTCCTCGTGTTTGAAGGAATGGTTGGGAAACTGCGAGGTGTGGTGGGAAGGCGTGTGTCCGTAGTTTGTGCCTCCATCAAAAGCAACTGTGCCGTAACCTGCATGGGACAGATAATATAAATGAAGTCAGAAGTGTTTAAAATATTATTTTAAAACGTGTTTTACATATATTTGAACATTTTGAATTGCCTTATTATTCTGTAACCTTAACAAATATAAATGAGGTCAGAAATATTTTAAAACCGTTAAAAAAATATTTTAAATCTAGATTGTATACCATTTATGTTTTAGACATTTTAGAACTTCCTAATTATTCGGTAAACTGCAAATATTTTCTGTTGAAATGTTCAGTTTTGAAATGTATTTGGGCAAAAGTGATGTCCCTACAAGTTCAAAATATGAGAAACATATTTTAGAATTTTTAAATATGAGGGATGGAATGATTGAGGGATGAGAAATGATTTAGCAAAACTGCAGAGAAAAATATAAAGTATGACAGCCTGGCCAACAATTATGTCTGCACAATTTGGCATGTTTCATTGCAAATAAAACAATTGACTCCAAGTACAACACAATATGCTTACAAAATCTTCAACAGATTTTTAATAATATTTTAATAAAGGGTGAAGACCAGATGTCATTTATGTTTTAGTCATTTTAGGATTGCTTAATTATTCCGTTAACTTCAAAATTTTGCATTTTAGATGAAGTGTCAGAAATAAAAACGACATCAGCAAATCTAGTAGTTGTTATTTAACAGAAACACACAGCTACTCTCCAGATAATAGGAATATTCTTCTTTGGATCCTAATCACCCCTCCATTGCCCAGCGGGGGTGAGCGGACAAGCTGTGCGAGGAAAACAAACGCTGGCAGGACGGTGTAGCCGAGAGCCGACACCAGGTTTAGGGGGTGAATCATGCCTCGGTCTAACCCCAGGTCAGACGTAACATCGTAAATCATGGTCTCCCACCACCATCTTCATTAATTACAAGCCAACCACTTTCACCTCAGAGAGAGAAAAACTCATTAAAGATGACCATTTCTCTTCCACCCTACCAGGTCTCAGCTAGAGCTTTAACCTGGGAGTCAGTGAAGTGCTGGTCACTGGCTCTAAGTGTGGCCTGGCATTGTGGAAAGTGGCAGCACCCACAATTAATTGTAACTTTAGATTTCCCAAATGCAATTTAGAACTTTAAAGTATCAGATGTCTGAGGGAGTGTTAGTGTTTTTATAAATTCCTCTATGCCTGGGGTAACTCAAGCACCCACAACAAGATCTCATGTCTGATGTTATTTATTATTATTGATGATCTTGTTTTATTATTGAGGGCAAAATCTGCTCATCATATGCACGGTAAAAACTTGGAAGTTTAAGTCATTTCAACTTAAATGACATTAAACTGACTTTAATTAGTTGAGTCTTGTATAACTTATAAAAAGGGTTAAAAATTGCTTAACTTATTTTAATAAAAATACCAAAAAGACACCTTGCTATCCTCGCGTACATAAATTAACTATAGTGTCCTGCACCAATTAGTTAAAAAAACATCAAAAATTATATCTGGGGTCTGCATAATTTTTGGTTTGACTGTAAAAACATATGTTGTCATAACTTATTGATTATATAATTTACAGAGTATATATGTTCAAATACATTTTTACATAAAAAAAAACATATTTATTACTTGTTTTCAAATATTTTTAATATAATGTGGAAATTTTTATCAAATAGTACCAACACGGATAAAAGTTGTTACACCAAAATAATGAGAAATGAGAGAAGAATAATCAATTTTATTAACCAATAACTGGCCAAGTGACGCATCATCAGAAAGGATCAAATATTTCTTTTACATTTTTCTTTGTATAATTTTAAAATGTTGGAACGTGCAAAATCATTAGATGTTATTTTTTTTAAAGTCTGTAATTTTTTTTTTTTAAATACAGTCTCTAATACTATAGTTATTGAATTATACTAAATACACATTTATTTATGGTATTTTTGTCTACATGTACATTTACTTAAACAAATTGTATTTTTTTTTTTTGGCTTATCTGAAATCAGTTTTACTTTATTATAATCTTTCAGTTTTTATATATTTATATATTATTAGCAGGTGCAGTTTTTCGTCTTTGTTTTCATGCAATTTGTCATCATGAAAAGGAAAATGTTTCTTTGTCTTGTCTAACTGAAAAATCTTTATTATCCCATAAGTTGAAACCCCAAGCCAGTAACCTAAAGTCCATTATACACTGACACAGCAATGACCCAACATGCATTAAACGCCTGCGTGATGAGGTGTTTGGAGCATATCTGTAAAATAACGAGGAACTGTTTTGCCAAATACAGGAGCATTGAGATACATAATTACTCAAGGCAGACAAATATGTGTGAGGTGATGGCCCTGGTGATGGATAAATCACAGAATGCATTTACTCACTTAATACATTACTGTTAAAACAAGCTCACATCCTGACAAACTACACTCTCTTCAAAAGTTGTCCTATAAAATAGTAATGCACTGTACAAATTGCGCTCATTCCTCATCCTCACATTAAAAAACTGTATTATTTTTAACTGTCTATAAAAATAATTGTATTTGCATAAATGGTTTAGTTTGTCAACGAAGTTCTCCTTAATTAAAATAAAACATTGTTTTTAATACAAATTAATTTTAATTTATTAACAAATTTACATTACATAAAACTTATTAAGAGTGACTTTTAGGCCAATGGTTGAGCAATTTAAATGATTCAATTATAAAATGGATGAGCGGGATGACATTCAAGAAATAAAAATAAAGTACTTTTATTTATTTTTTTAAGTTTTTTTTTTTCAAGCTATGTAATTGAATTCATGTATTAAGCAGACATATTTAAACCAAATAATTGGAATACAATTTAAATAAATAAAAAAGCATGTTATAGGCCCCATAACCAGTACATTTGGTGTTTCTTGTCCCTAATAATTAATAGGAATGTTTACTGACTTTTAGGCCAACTGTTGAGAAATATAAATAGTCCAAATTCAAAAATGTTATGAAACTGAGAGGAATGACATAGCCTACAAGATCCCAACTAAAAAGAAAGTACTTATGTTTTTCAAAAAGTGTTTTACAAGCTTTCCTAAAACGGTTAAAAGTCTATTTAGCAGACAATTAAATGTGTGTTAAGCAGATATTTAAACTGATATTTAAGATAGGCAAGGTTATAGGCCTCATACCAGTAAAATGAGATTTGTGCCCTTAATAATTAATTTAAAAAAATGATATCTATTGACAAATTATAGCAGTTCGGGAACAGAATGAGTGACATTAAAGGAGTTTCTCACCCTGATTCCTGGAGCTGGGCTGGCTGTCCATGCAGTTGGACAGGTAAGGGCTATTGCTGAACATCCTGGGCTGGGTGGGTGGTGGCTGGCTGGCTGTAGGGGCCCCGAAGGCTCCGTACCTGCAGGCCCCAGTGCCAGTGAACTGTCCAGAGAAGTGCACAGTGAAGGCGCTCAGCCCACAGTGAGGGTCTTCATGAGGGTCGGTCGTGCCCCAGCTGGGCTCCTGCTTGATGAAGGAGTGCGGGGCCAGCGAGCTGTAGGGTGCGCCGGTGTGAAAGTCCAGCATAGGAGCCCACTGCGGGGTGCTGCTCACGGGGAGGGCACAGTTACCGTTCCCCCCTGGCAGAGCGGTTACGGGAGGGAGAAGAGTGTTGAGGTCACGTACATCGGAACCCATTTTCGGGGTACTTGAAACACCTGAACGGCCCAGCTGAGTGACGAGGTCCAACGAGGATCTGGTTCGAGTTCGATTTGGTGCTAAAATCCAAAGTCAAGGTGTCATCGCTAGACGAAGTTGGGTCACGGCCAGTAAAAAGTGCTCTTCGTTAAAAACGGTGTTAACGTTTTCAACCAGAATAGTCCATGTCACAATGGGAGAGGAGAAAACGGGGGCTCAGTTGGGAGGTCCCAGCAGGGGCAAGTTCTCGCAGGCTCTGTGAATGGAGTGAGGAGAGCAGAAGAGAGGTTCCTCCTTTCTTGTGTGTCTGTTTTCTTTGGAGGCCTAGGAGCTCACATACAGAGCCAGTCTGAGGAGTCGGGAGGAGGAGGAGGAGCCAGAGCTAGTGAGGAAAGATGAGTGTAACACTTCATTCATTTACTTCTCCCTGTACAATACTCCTCCCTGTATACTCATACAGCATGCAGGGAGTCTCAATAACGTGTGTGTGTTTGTGGGAGTCGGCGGGATAGATAACAATGATTCAGAGACTGGCTTTTTATGAGTTTTGAAACACATTTTAGCAGACACTATAAAGCTGTTAAATGCACTTCAGACTTTGGCTGCGCAGGTACAGTAATATCTTGAAGTAATATACAAATCTGAAGGACATTTAAGAGGTGGAAATTAATTTTAAATCTATATTGAATTGCATTCAGAATTTGAATTTGAGTTTGTGAAGGGACAGGTCTTTAGTTCTAATTATTGTATAACCATATGCTTCGGTTAAATAGTCTTTCATTTTGTTTCAAGACTACATTTTGAGGCGCTGACCTTACAGCATCAATGACCGCGCGCAAGCAAGCGCTTTATCATTAACATCCATCAAACTTAATGTTTTTTTTTTCTATCTCTCTCTCGCTCAGACGGTCTTATACAAATGCTGCCCTTTTATAATTTAGGGCGACTTTAGAAAATAATAGGCGTAAAAAGTAATAGCCATGCATGGAAGGCATAATGATTATTTTATAAGTGGGTTGTTGCAACAATATATACGAGAAAGGAAATGGTTAATTATTAAACGGCTTGTAATTGTTTTTTGACGTTATTTATGGCAGAGCGAAAAACCTAGATCATTGACTCCGCAACATCATTTTTATTAAAAATGTAAACGAATATTACACAATACTAGTGTTATAATAATAATAATAGGCTAATAATAAATGCTCAATCAATTATTGTTTTTTTATATGATTTAATATCGGATATGTAGCCTAGGCCTAGGCTACTCAAGTGGCCGTATCAGCTATTTTCTCCCAAAAAAAAATATAATAATAATAGCTAATTAGTTTAGCATGTTAACGATTGTATGCAACATATCCTGCTTTCTTATAAATAAAAATATACATTTTAAAAATAACTTAGTTTAGCTGGAATGAAAAAGTCTAAATGAAACGAAAATACTCCGCTTATCTACAGATTGTCTTGTTTCTCATTTTAAATCGTTTTTTAAAACAATTAGGCCTACCTATCCGTTTTTTTTATTTATTATATAGTATTCTGCATTAAGCTTTATTCCTATGTTTTTAAAAAAACTAACCCGAAAGCGTTAAATAATTAAATGAAACTTTTTGGTTAATGATGTTTCAACTAGGCTACTATTAATCAAAAGAAAAGAAAAAAAAATGTTAGGATCCGAACTGTTAAAGTGCAGGACGAATTTCGTTTAGATAAAGTTTCTTATCAAAAAATGAGTCTGCAGGTGCTCGTGTTCATATATGAGCAGTTAAATTATTTAACAGTCAAATAAAAACGGAATGAGTAACGTTCTTTTATTAAACAAAAAAAAGAAGTTGTTTGAATTTTGACATTTTACATAAAATATGTCAGTCGTTATGCAAAGCATTGATGCGCGTTTGATCGATCGAATCAGAAAGAAATTACGCAGGCAAAAGTGCATGTAGGCTATACTGTTCTAATGAAAGTGGTTTGTCTTAGCCTACAATTGGCGACCATCAAGGACGATGAAAGGCCGATGAAAAATACGTGATGTTGCGATGAAGACATGAGGAGGGACGAGTCAATTATAACACTGCACAATCTGCCGCGAGGAAGAGAGGACTTACACACACCCCTACACACACTCCCTCAGCAAGGGCTGAGTTCCTGCTTAACCTCTGGCTCACTGTCTGGAGAAGAGTAATATTACTGAAGTCCACCTCCAGCTTGAGATGGACCTCATCTGGAAGTCCTCATACCATCAGGTTGGAGATGTGAAAACAAACGAATCCTGTATTATATTGTTAGCACTTAGTCAATTCTTAGCTTTAACTTTTAACCAGGGCCCATGGACATCCATAACCATTTACAGAATACGTGCAATAACAGTAATAGACAGTGACGAAGATTTTAGTTCCACAGTGGTTCGAAAAATATGGTGTGACACAACACACGCCCGGCATCCAGACACTTTTATGGTCCAAGATGAAACAATATAACAATGTATTATTAATGAGAGTGAGAATTATGGACATTGTAAAATACTGGCAATCAGTGAATTTATATAGGCTATAGGCTAAAAGAACAAGAAATTAAGTTAGACCTAACTGACAAAGTTGGACGAAAGTGGAAGCGTAATATGATGATACAGACAGTTCCAGCATTGGTGGTCTAAGTGGCTAAAAATTAGGCTAGCTAATAGGCTACATTATATGCTATGTTTGAGTAGCCTACAAATGTGCTAACTGCACAACATATTGCAGGCATTATTGAGACCGTCGGTCGCAAAGATGGCGGCGCAAAACTACAGTGACGTCACGTGAACCGAATGAAAATACGCTGTCCCATAGTATTTTTTTTTTTTTTTTTTTTTTTTTTTTTTGCAGTTTTATATCGAGCAATTTTATGTAACTCAAACTACAACAATGAGCAATCATAGACACAGATAGATATAGGTTTTGAGAATTAGGCTAACCTGCCTCCTTTTCGCGCCATTATTTTAAGCTGTCTTTAAAATCGGAATTACAGTACGAATTTCCTAATTCAAATTTAGACATGAACGTCTTCTCAAGATGTATTTAACTTTACCAATGGGAAGTTCGGAGATGATTTTGAACCCAAAGTTCCCACGTTGGGTGGGCCAGTGGGCCACAAACTTAAAACTTGGCGGAAGGAAAACGATAGTCAATAGTTGCTGTGACTATTCCTCTCTCTCTCTCTCTCTCTCTCTCTCTCTCTCTCTCTCTCTCTCTCTCTCTCTCTCTCTCTCTCTCTCTCTCTCTCTCATATAACTGCTATGCTATATGTATTGTCTTGTAGTTAAAAGTACATATTTACATTAAAAGGAGGAGGCCTAATTCACTTAAAAAAAACTTTTGCTGATGATTTAATCACCCCCATGTCATCCATGATGTCCATGTCTTTCTTTCTTCAGTCGAAAAAAAAAATAGTTTTTGATGAAAACTTTTCTTCATATAATGGACTTCAATGGGAACCAAACGGTTCAAGGTCCAAATGAGAGTTTCAGTGCAGCTTCAAAGTGCACCAGGACACCAGACGATGAATAAGGGTCTTATCTAGCGAAACAATCGGTCATTTATAAAAGAAATAAAAAAGTTTAAATTTTATAAGCACAAATGCTCGCTTTGCTCTGTTCTGTGATGAGCGTTCGTGACTCTCCTGTTCAAACTTGTTCATCAAAATGAACAAATCTTTTTTCGAGTCATGAGTCGAAGGGTCCTAGATAAGACCCTTATTCATCGTCTGGTGTCGTTTAAAGCCCTTTGAAGCTGCACTGAAACTCTCATTTTGACCTTGAACCGTTTGGTTCCCAATGAAGTCCATTATATGGAGAAAATCCTGGAATGTTTTCATCAAAAACCTTAATTTCTTTTCGACTGAAGAAAGAAAGACGTGGACATCATGGATGACATGGGGGTGAGTAAATTATCAGCAAAAGTTTTTTTTAAAAGTGAACTACTCCTTACAGCGTATTTCCACTAAAACTGCCACAAATAGAGTTGATTTGAACCCGGGACTCTTTAAGCCACCTGTACAACAGTGCTATTGGTACTTTGCATGTGGCATTTGGTTCAGCTGACTGCACTGTTGTGAACGGTATCAGCAAATAAATGCCATGGGAGTGACAGAGGCTTTTTTTTTGCCACCAGACAAAAACGCTCCTCATTTTCACCCTCAATATCAGTGACTTTACTATCCTCCCTGTCTGTTTAGGACACACTCAGTGTATCAAAAGGAATTTCTAACATCGGACACAATGACTGATCTTTTAGAACCTGTGCATATTTGCGAGTGTGAGAAAGAGAGAAACAAGGCATGAACAGTGGGGCATTGTTTTGAAGCAGACAAGGCAAAATTCACGTCCAAAGATGTAACATTGCATTTCGCCAAAGGCTGATAAGGACTACGATGATTCATTTCACCCTCACATCTGTGGCTAACAGAGCTTTTATTTATTTGACAAAGATAGTGTGTTCTCTGTCAGCGTTGACATCCGTTACATTGGTCGTCCATGGTTTTCGGACCTGTCCGTTTCATTACTTATGACTTTAATCACAAGTCTTCTCATGTTTACAATAAATCGTCGCTTCAAGTGGAATCTGTTAGCTCAAGACTCCACAAGCATAGTCAAACTTTGGTGTCCTTTGTCATGGGTGAGCAGTAACATTTCTCATTTCCTTTAAATGCTCTCCGAGGACTACAAGAGAGATTCATCAAACGAGTGGAAATCATCTGGGGCTATCAATTAGTCTGCTGTACAAATGGAGTCGGTAGAGGATCTACCTTGAAGTCAGATCTCTTTGATGCAATAGCGAGCTTTGGAAAAACAAAATATTTTCAGGGTCACTTGGACCGCTGTGTTTTTCTTGAGCCTGTGGAGCACTTGGGTAAAAGTCGGCTAGGTTTTATTTTAAGATAATTTGTTGTTTGCTAAGTGGAAAAATGCATTTGAATGGCCAGGGGAGCCATTCTTTTTCTGCGCTGTTGTTTCAGAAATGCGGCATTAGACATCTACAGAATTTCTCCGAGCTCTCGTGGGAGCCCAGAAAAACCTATGGTCTTTTTTTCAGAGCAGAAATAGCAAAGAGTGGGTGTTGCGTGTGTGAACAAGGAGTTCAGCAAAGAAAATGAGGTGAGACCTAGTGCTAACTAAAACTCATTGGCCTGGTTTCACAAACAGGGCCAGGATTAGGCCTTAGTTCGATTTAAGTGGCTTTTTTTAACATACCTTGGAAAACAACAACATCACTGGTGTGCATCTTGAGACAAAACAAAAGCACTGACATATTTACACTGACACATAACCCGAAGGCTGCGGGTTCGATTCTCAATACCGGCAGGAAATGACTGAGGCGCCCTTGAGCAAG